CCATCCCTGCCAACATAAATTTGCCAACAGCTTAAACCTCTCTCTTTCCCCATAAAATGACAACAGTTTCAACTACTTCACAAAACTAACAAAAGGTACAATAAATATCACAATTAGAGAAAAAGATGCTATTCATAAATAGTACCAAATGAAATGCTGAGTTTCTAACCACAATCAATATAAACAAATGTACATATTTGCCTTTAAGTACAGATCCTGACAACAAAGTATTCTAATAAAATGGTAAGGAGCAAAACAGTGCTGATGAGATTTAAGGAATAAAATTAAGACCACCAATTGCCCCAAAAAGGAAGAACATCTCTCTCTTCCTCAGAGAAAAGAAAAAGAAATAGAAAACTAAATAGTCTACATTTCTTTCTAAAATAAATACGCTTCCCTGTCACAGATTGGTAAAGATAATGGATGGAATATTGGAAAAGGTATTAAGTAAGAGTTGACCAACATAATTAAGAGTCAAGAAGCAGTAAGAGTGCTATATGTTGTAGAGAACGGTTATACTGATTACTGCCCCCCCCAAAATGTACCTTCATAATTAGCTTTTCTTCCTTTTGGTTGAAATCTAAGTTACAAACACAATAAAAAGGAAAACAACTTGGTTGTAATATAGTGGAATGCGAAGTTAGGTACAAATGCTGTGTTTATAATATAGTACAATAAAGCAACGTAATCAGAAATGATTAGTGATCTACTATTACATATGTGTGCATTCTCTCAAATTCTCTGAAACTCTAGACCCACTTAGTTCCATGAAAGAGAAGAGTTGGCCTTCTAGGAAAATTGACATATTTGCACATATACTTTTTATTCTAATGCAAATGCTACTAGCAGAACTAGTTCACTCCTTCAGTGATCCTTGTTGGCTTAATGGCTATTAGGCAAATACCTACTGTCCCATCACTCATCTTTGCCTGACATGCTGAAATATATGAACATTTACTTTCCTTTGTGTAAAAGAAGGTTGAGAAGGCACCATTAAAATCTGCTTTTATTTTACATAAAACAAGCTCCATACTCTCTTCCCAAGAGAGATGTTTTGGCTTTGTTACCTGTGAAATGTAGGTATCAGTATTTAACCAGTCTAAAAGAAGACAACAGAAAAAGATCAGTCAGAATTTAATTAACTTAGATATATGTAAGTCTCCCAACTTCTCAATTCTGTTTTCTTTTCTAGGGGAGGAATGAATTTGAGGTCCATTTTGTTCAAATACATACATATATACATACAGCAAATCTTCATGTCTTTAGAAAATAAAGCTTAAAAAGAGTCAACTCAGGTAGAGTTAGATAATATTATAATTAGCTGATTTAAGATAACTCTCAATAAGACTCTTCATTTGAAAAAACACTGAGGGATGAATAAAAATAGAATCAGTTTTCCCTGTAAAGATCAGCTTAACAAAACCAGAGTTTTCAGAGCCTCCCAAACTGTAGAAGGCAGATCTTCACAAATGTGTAATTACAACATGGGTATAGGATTTTTATGAAGATAGACATATATACCAGATGATAGTGATGAAAATATAGTAAAGTACATACTTTACATTAAACATTTTATATGTATATAATAATTATATATTTGTATAAGACAGAATCTTAGACACTATATAGGTAACCTATATATATAATTTTAGTTTGTCAAATGAATAAAATTTAAAAATACATGATAGAAATAATGTATTTTGCAAACATAATAAAGTCTGTTAAATTCTGACTTCCTGTCTAAGTACCTTGAATGTCTATCTCCACAGAAAGATTTTCTGCTCCTTCACCCGAGTTATTTCTTATTACTCCTTCAGAGGTCTGCAAGTGTTAGCTCACCCAGAAAATTTTTGCTGGCATACCAGACCAGATCAAGTCCTTTGTTATGCTCTCTCATTACACACTGAAATTATCTCACAAAATTGCAATTACATAGTAGCATAACTACTTATTTAGTGTCTCTTAGCTCTGTAAGGTTTTTGAGAACAGGACCTATCAATCTCATTTCCTATTTTATTCTTAGAACTAAGCACAGACTTTTACAAAAAAAAAAAAAAAATCAATGAACAAATAATTATGGATTAACTGTTAAAAGAATTTTCTGGTTAAATATTTAAGTAAAATAAAATACTATTACACACTCCCTGTTTTTTTTAATAGAACCACCATATTTCTATCTGCTCATTTTTCTTCTGGTATGGAAAATATATTTCACTTTTCTCTTAAGGTAAATTCAAATAAGACAGAAAATTACCCTTTTGGCATTACTGGGGCTGACCTCAGAGCCTCATGCTTGCTAGGCAGGTGCTCTGTCACGTGAGCCACACCTCCAGTCCTTTTTACTTTATGTTTTGGAGATATGGTCTTGTGTTTTTGTTCAGGCTGGCCTGGAATGAGACCCTCCTGTTTACTCCTTCCACATAGCTAGGATGATGGGCACATGCCACCACACTCAGCTTTTATTGGTTGAAATGGCATCTCAAAATTTTTTTTGGCGTGGGCTGGCTTCAAATCCCAATCTTCCTAGGTGTGAGCTACTGCATCTGCCTTAGAAAGTATTCCTTTTAAGAAACATTACTACTTAAGTAATCCAGACAACTAATTTCTTTCACTTAGCATTGTCCATGTTATATAAGATTTGATTCTTCTTAATATTATTTTTATATGAGCAGCAGCAGTAATAAGTTAGCAAGCAATGAAATAAGTCAATATGCAACATTTTAAATAAAAATACTTTTGAAAGTTAAAAGCACTTTTACATCACAACAGTACAGTTAACAAAGATGATACAGAGGAGGAATACAGGGAAAATCTCAAAAGGAAAAAGGAATACTTATGCTTACAAATAATTTATGTCTTTTAATACTTATTTTCCTCAAAAATCAGTAGAGAATAAAATGGTTTTGGTGCCCCAGCTATCTTTCTTTGACACTACCTCCTCATATGTTTTTTTTGTGTGGTACTGGGGTTTGAACTTAGGGTCTCACACTTGCCAGGCAGAAACTCTACCATTTGGACCATGCCCCCAGTCCCCTCACATGCTTTTTTAAGGCAACAGCTCAGCTCTTCAACATCACTATGGTTCTGATGTGGCTGTTCATGTAGTATCTGCTTCATCCCTAGCCGTGCAGTTGGCTTGTCATCAGCCAGTCAAAAATCTTACCACATTCTCCTAACACAAGTGACTAATCCAAGTGGTGGATATTTGCCCAGGCTAGGCCAGAGATCTTCCCAAGATATTTTTGGGATTGCAAATAGGAATAGGGAGCTTATTCCATCCTTAGTTAGTTTACTAAGCTCAGTCTAGACCAGCAGCTCTGAGAGAAACCAAAAGAGAAGACATGAATTTTTACTCCCTGGATTCAGAAGATCCTAAATCTACAATTCTTGCTTTTCTGTGGTTTAGGTATGTAATAAATCTCTCCCTGTTCTAGCTAGCTTGAGTAAAAATTTTCACGTATAATCAAAAAGTCCTAATATAGATCCATATTCTAGGCATCACAAAAATGAATGTCAATTTTTAAAAAAAAATAATAGTTTAAAAATACTGCATAACTTATAAATCTAAAAATGATACTATATTCTAAACTCTTCTTCCCTCCTACAATTTTAGATGTATAAAAGTCAATTTTTAAAGAGGCACTATGTACATGTACTCTTTTTTGTTTTACATCCTAGTTTATTTCTTCAGCTTTATACTTTCCGACCTTCCTACAGAGCTTTAAATTTGAACCATCCTATTTTTTTAAACTTCAGTCTCATTTTTGGTATCTCAGTATTCCTTTCACACAGCACAATACTGCTGTGGGCATGTGAACAATGTTGATGTTTTAATGTTAGATATCTTCTCCATCCTTCAAAGATATTCTCAAATCTCTATGAAAATGCTAATTATAAATTTTATTTCATTTAAAATTTTTGGTTTCCAAAATCAATAATACTTCTTTCAGAACTTTTTCAGTTTTCTTCCACTATATTTTTTCCATGTTGAAAGAGTTCTTCATATGTCTGATTATTCCTTAATCTCTATTAGTATTTAAAAATAAGGACATAAGCAGTTAATCGGAAGCCTTGTGAGCATTTCTGGAATTCCTTGACGAGATTTTTTTTTAAGGTAATCAAATAAGTAACTGGATACTTTAGAAGGAATCTTTAAATGCAAATGTTACTGCTACAACATCGTTTTTTAGAGGAAAAGAAAGCAGTAATACTAATCCCCAATTCCACCGTGGCCCTAAAGCCTGATGAATGGCCTGAGTGAGAAATCTTCAAGTAACTACTTTATCTATACACTCCGAAATTATTGCAGTTCCTACTCACAATTTCCTATCTTGCATGTTCAAATTCTATAGCTGCTGTTGGAAAGTAGAAGACAAAGCAGAAAGGTTTCCTCCTATCTTATACAATAAAGGATAATCTTATATTAACTGTTACATAGCTTTTTAGAAATGTTTTGCAAATAATCAATTACGTATGTATTTAAAGATAAGAGTTTCACAATAGTTATTCAATGAAACATATTCAGATATTTCCTTTGCATTTTGCAGTGATGATAAATAGTTTCACAATCCACAATTTAGTGGATTGTGGATACAATAGTATCCACTAAATAAATATAAACAGATGAATCTGTGGCTTGCTCTCCTGTGCTTCAGTTACCACTCCTTTCTCCCTTCTGAGCTCCAGAAAATTGTAGGCATCTTTTATTCACCAATTATCGTTCTCTATTCTCTTTTAGCTTTATTTCTCTCATTTACTTCTATTCTATAAAAAATAAAGTGCTTGTAGTGACCAGAGAATCTATGTATCACAATTCCATTTATCCCTAAGGCTAAAAGTAAAATTGTTATATATGTCCAAAATTAAATCTAAATACTTAAGTGAAGAAATGAAAATTTCTTTTTGAAGGAAAAGTTTCTTCCTCAAACAAAATAATAAAAAATCAATCCTCAAACACAACAAAAAAAGCAATGTATTTATAAGAAATAAAGAGTACTTACACAGCAAGACTACTCAAAACATATTGAACGTGCTCACATTCATCTGGAAATGACACACTGGCTGATGTAAAACAACAAAGTGCAGTCTGAAGAACTTGAAGCTGCGGCAAAGGAACCTGCCATCTTCCAGCATAATCTTCAACTACCTGATAGGGAAGCAATACAAAAAAGTAATTAGAATAGAAAATGTTCCCAACTTTTCAAGTTTAAAAATGTGTTTGTAATTTATGAGATACTCTAAAACATTAATTCACCATAAATACAGATGACTTATCTCTATCCTATCTCTATAGGGAAAAGTCCTGTGCTATTTTCATTTTCTTGGTATACATCTGAAACTAAAATTATCTTTGAAAACATGAAAAAAATGCAGTATATCAATAACAGTACTCTTCAACTACCACATCTTTACCAATCTTTGTAACAAATGTCTTTCACTTCCCACATCCAGCTTTTATGAAAATGTCAATGATTAAAATTAAAATAGCTAAGCAATAGAATATAGTAATAACTAGAAATAATCATGCATTATTAATTTCATTATTTATAAAGCTCAAAGCATTCTGTCAGTAAATGAGCGTTAAGACAGAGTAGTATGAGTGCTCTGATTATGAATATTTAACCTATACCATACTATGGGAAAGAGTCCAAAAGAACACCCGCCTGAACAGATACCTGAGGATTCATTTTTCTTACAATTCTCAACAGTGAATGAAGTTAAAGAAAAATTCTTAATAAAACTCATTTGTCATTTTGACCTTCTCATCAGGATAATTTTGTAGATAGACTGTAAAATTAAAAGTCATACTTTAAAAACACGAAAATGATTTAGAAATAGATTCTGGTAAGTTAAAAGTTGCTTGGTATCTGCAAAAGACATAATCTGTACTAGCAAGCAGCCTGAAACCCAGTACTTTGGGTGCTTAATAAAGTATGCAAAACTCTTTGAAATTCACTACTCCTTAAAGTTGCTATTTTTACAATATGAAGGTCTTTAATAGTTTCTATGAATAAGGTAAGGCTAAACCTTTTCAAAAAGGAAAATGGAGTAAGCACTATAAATCTAAATCATATTTCATATCTGACTGCTAAAAAGAATCTTGAAGATTATCTAGTCAACCTATTAGAACATGAATACCTATTATGTATCATTCCCAGAGGGTTTAACAATATAAATAATTGCTACTGATACATAATTCACCACCTCAAGACAATTTAAGTTTACATACTCATTTATCAGAAATTCATTACAAAGCAAAAACTGTGACATCTATGTATCAGTTCTAGTTTGGATTTCTAAAATGATACAAAAATATGCAAGTCTCATAAAATATTATATGTCAGCTATCATATACTTCATTATACTTTATTCTCTAGATTAAGTATCTTCCATCCTTTCAACTATTTCAAATATTACTCAGTAGTCTCTAAAATTTTCATAGTTTTCAATAGCATATCCTGTTCATGCTCTAAATTATCATCCATATTCCTTTCAAACATAGATCCCAGAATGGAACATAAGACTCTAGGCTGAATTCAGTCAGAATCAATGACACTATCACATCCCTGTTTGGGGCTCTATGATTATATTAATGCAGCTTGAGGGTTTATTTTATTGATTTTGGGTCAGCAAAAATGCTGTATCTTTTTCACACAAATTGCTATTAAACGAGTTCTACATAACTTAAGTTTCATTTTTCCTATTCTTAGTGTCAACCCAAATCATCATTCCTGCATTTCTACCTAATATTTTAGCATTTACTCTCAGTTCATGTCACCTATAAATCTAAGAGGGAGGTTTATCAAAGTTATTATCATCATTTTTATTTTACAAAAAAATAATTCACACACAGACTGATTATAGGGCCAAGTTCAGGTCTTTCAATAATACATTACGGGCCATTAATCAATATCCTTTTAGTAAGGACGTGTAATCAGCTGCTCATATTAAACCCACTCCCCATTTCTCTATTTGTTCATAATAAGAAAATTTGCTAAACAAAGAAGAAAAATGAAAGTTGAAAACCACATATGGTAAGTCTGCCACATCTCCCATGTTACTGCCAGATTTTTCTATTATCCTATTTTTTAAAAAGTAGAAATTAATAGTTGCAACAATCTGGTTTAATGAACCCATAGTGAAAGTTAGAGATTGATATGCTTTTCTTACTATTCTCAACCATTTACTTAATAAACCTTAGTAATTTTAATTGACATTATATTACTTTTAGTGGTTGATGGTCCCATAACACACCATTTTGGAAAATGGTATACTTGCCCATATCTAGACTAACATCAATTCTTCAGTTCTCTGATTCTTCAAACATTACTATGGTTCTATGCAAAGTGTTCCCTACAGTATACCAGGATAAAATTTAAACTTACTTTAAAAAAGACCCTATAAGCATTCCTTATCTATTTAGGGCTTTAGTTCTTTTAACCACATTTCATTCCTAACTTGAAAATCCTCTTGTTAGAAAAGATATTTTTAGTGAAGTAGTTCTATTTTCTACCTAAGCAGAAAACTGACCCCCTTCACTCATATTTGCTACTTTAACAGAAGATAAAAACTTTCACAGAAAAGAATGAAATTAAATGAAGTCTTAAGAATTCATCCCATCCAAGAGGAAAGAAAATATATCAAAATCATACTAAACTAGTTCAACACAAAAATACATAAAAGTTTAAAACATGCAGAGTATTATACTTGCTAATAAAAGGATTCCACATTTAACACTATCATATTAAGTTCAAATACATTTCATAAAAGCAACTGAGCTATCAAATAGTTTTTACAGTTACAAAGCTCACCTCAAAACAAACACAAATACAAAATAAAGGAGCTCTTGTGAGTCAAGAAAGAATATGGGGAAATTATAATACAGATGATAAAGAATTATCTCCATACTTAAAACCAGCCTTGGCTTGACAGATGATTGCCATTAATCACACCATAAAGAAACTCTTTGAGCTGAAATATTTGTTATTATTTAAAATCAGTTACGACTTCTTCAGTTTTTTAAAATATTCTGTTAAATTGCATTCTACTAGTTTTTACATGAACAGTATATAGCATTTTCATTTATCTTTCCTATGTGTTACTTCAAATCCTTATCACAGAAGTAATTTTTTTTTTGCATTCCCACAATAGAAAGTTTTTCAAATAAAATGAGGAACATTTTATTTCCAATATACTTTAATGGCACAACTTTTTTTTTCTTCTTTTTGTAGCCACAACATTTTCTGCATGCCAGAAAATGGAGTCAGAAAACAGGATGTGTATATTGGTGAATGAAATAGAGGTGAGAAGGGTAAACAGCAAAAATTCATTCAGAATTCCCCTCTTCCATTTTGATTCTTCGATCTGTGTCCTTTACCTAAATTCTGGATATTGTGAGTTTAGAGCAAACTTTTTCTCTTTACTCCCCATTCTTGTTTGTAAAGTAGGAATTTAGTCCTAAAAAAATACCTCTGTGAGGACAAATTTCATCCTCCTCTAAAATTCACTTACTTTATAGAAGTGAAGTTAACAAAACTTAGAACCACCAGCTCAAGGTCAAGGCTAATGTACAGTTTTGGTTCTCTTCACCTTGAATTTTCAGCATTCACTGCATTTGAGTGAGGTCAGAGCCTGGAAATAGCTTAAGATCTCCTCTTATATAAAAAAAAGTAATTTTAAAATTTAAATAAATGTCCATCTCTGTCAGTTTTGTCAATTTTCATTTCTGAAGTCAGAAGGGAGAATAATACATGAAACACTTCCTTCATAAGCATTAAAGTGCCTGGATAATGGAACCCCAAAATATATGCATGGAGAGAAACAGATGAAGACAAAATTGAGAGATGAATAAACACTAACACGAGGTACCAGGTTTGCTCAGTTTCAAGATGAACTAAATTTGTTTTTAAAAAAAAAAAATGATGCACTTATATTAAAATAACAGTGGCAGAATTAATAAAAAGAGAACATGAGGATTAAAATATATTAAAAAAAAACCAGGGACTTCCTGAAGAATAAGCATTCACTCTAAACTCTTATTCCTATAATGCTAGTAGCTATTTGGGAGGCTGAAATTGGGAGGATTGTGTTTGGAGGCCAGCCCATACAAATAGTTCACAAGACCTCATCACCAAAATAACCAGAACAAAATAGACTGAAGGTGTTGCTCAAGAGGTAGAATGCCTGATTTGCAAGTATGAAGCCCTGAATTCAACCGCAGTCCCACACAAAAAAATTAATTAAAAAATTCTTAAAAGTCAGACTAGAACTGGAAAACATCATTCTGAGCGAGGTTAGCCTGGCCCAAAAGACCAAAAATCGTATGTCCTCCCTCATATGCACACTTTAGATCAAGGGTAAACACAACAAGGGGATTGGACTTTGATCACATGATAAGGCAAGAGCACACAAGGGAGGTATGAAGATAGGTAAGACACCAAAAAACTAGATAGCATTTGTTGCCCTCAATGTAGAGAAACTAATGCAGAACCTTTAAGGAAACAGAGGCCAATAGGAGAAGGAGACCAGGAACTAGAGAAAAGGTTAGTTCGAGAAAAATTAATTTAGAATGTAACACATATGTACAGGAAAGCAATGCAAGTAAACTCCCTGTATAGCTATCCTTATCTCAACTAGCAAAAACCCTTGGTCCTTCCTATTATTGCTTATACTCTCTCTTCAACAAAATTAGAGATAAGGGCAAAATAGTTTCTGCCTGGTAGTGAGGGGGTAGGAGGGGAGAGGAAGGGGGCAGAGGGAAAGGGAGGGGGTAGAGGGAAGGGGGGAGAAATGACCCAAACATTGTATGCACATATGAATAAAAGAAATTTTTTTAAAAAGTCAGACTAGACATTAAGAGAGAAAAAAGGAGATATATTCCAGAACTAACTGTTCAGAAAGATGGAATTGGAGGACAAAAGAAGTAGATAGTTGTTACTTACTAGAAAGAAAGGATGACTGGTTCCAAAGATACCTGAGGCATAGAAGCTAACTGTAGGATAGAAATTTGAAGAATAAACCACACTAGAAATCCAACTATGGAAAATGCTTCTTTAAAAAAAGATGGAAAATTGATAAGAGCAGATGAAAAGCCATACCTTGAAGACTAAGATTGGTAACATAAAATCTGTACAAGGTAACACAAAA